ACAGGCATGTGCCACCAAGCCCAGCTAATTTTTGTATTTTTAGTAGAGACGGGGTTTCACTAACCCACTAACCCCGTGTTAGCCAGGATGGTCTCGATATCCTGACCTCGTGATCCGCCCGCCTCGGCCTCCCAAAGTGCTGGGATTACAGGTGTGAGCCACCGTGCCCGGCCTTTTCTTCCTTTTAATGAATGAGGTCACTGAGGCTCTGCGGGGAGGTGTGCCCAGGGTCACTAGCTGGAGAGTGGCAGATTAGGAACTGAATGGGGTTAGCCTGTCTCCTCTTCCAGGGCTCCTTCTGGGCCCTGCTCCTTCCTGACCAGGTGCCCTCAGGGCTGGGGCTGCCGATTTGGCCTCTCACAGAAGGTGGGGCGCTGGTTTCCCTGTCCTCTGCATCAGCAACCCTGGGCCCCAGCTCTAACCACGGGTGTGGTGGTGGGAGGCGGAACTGCCTGTCCTGCCTCTGCGTGGCCACAAGGGGGCTCCAGGACCAGGTTTTTCCTTTTGCTGGCGCTGCAAGGGTTCCCAGCAATCCCAGCACCCTGAGCTTTTCTGGAAGTGCAGGTTATCCTTCTGAAGCTACCACTGAAGGGTCTCTGCCAGGCTGGGAGGCCACCAGAAAGCGCGCAGCCTTTGCGCTTTATAATCCTATTCCAGAAGTACCTCCCTTCTCTCAGCTAGTCCCTCCAGTTGTCTACCCTCCATTTCTACTGCTACAGGCAGGGAGAAATAAGGCTGAGTGAGTCACTCTTCTTTCTTTGCATTACTACTCCCCTACCCAAGGCTTGAAGGGAAGTACTTGTTTTCGTCCCCATTCCCTGACCTTTAGAGCTCAGACTGGTCTCCTGTCACTGCTAAGGGCTGGATAGACAGCAGCAGGAAAGATGTAAGTTAGACATCAGGAAGGACTTCCTGACAGAAAAGGCCATGGGCTGCTGGGTTTGGGTATCTGAGGGAGGCTGAACAAAGGGAAGTTGGCTGTTCATCTGGGGTGAGGCTCTGAGAAAAGTCCTCTGCGCTCCACACCCCACAGCTATACATCCCTGGAGGTGGGTAGTGGGGCCTGGGTACAGTCATTTGCTACTGTGTCTCTCTGAACCTCAGGGAACCACAGATATTGCTGACTCCTTGGGTTTCTGGGATGGGGAGAAGATCTGCATGGGGGCTTTCAAAGGAAAACACCTGAGCCACTCCCTCCCTTGGCTGGTGACCCAAGGCAGAGGAAAGGATGACATGATGGAAGAGTTTTCCACATCTACTTCAATGGGCTTTCAGAGTCCCTGTGAGGTCTTCAGATTCTTAGGTTATCATCAACCTACTGGGCAAGGACTGAGTCATGCGCGTGGGGTGATTCTTGCGGCAGGAGATGACGCTGCGCAGGATATGAAGGAGTCTGGTCCCCTCCATTTTCTACACCTTGACTTTCCAAGTGGGACATGAAATGTCATCTGCCTCTTTTTCCTGTCTGTCTTCAATGCTAAGGGGATCCTGGGGTAGAGGGAAGAGCAGGCCTTTGGAGTCAGACCCTACCTGATGGAGCCGCATGGCAGACCACTCTGTCTCAGTCCCTGCATCAGAAGGGGAGGGTGGAATAAGAACTCCTACTTCCCAGGGCTGTGGAGAGCTTCGGGAGACCACGGATGTGAAAGGGCCTAGTGCGGGGGCGGGGGGGGGGGGGCGCGGCACAGCACAGCAGGTGCTCCCTGCCCAGACTCCTGTGTTCCTGGAGGAGGGGAGATGTGTCCATTTCCCGGATCGGAACATGGTGGTGGGAATGATACTAAGCCGCAAGGCCAGGATCTCTGCTGGACGTGCTCCAGAGTCAAAAGTTTGGCCTCCTCCTCCCCTGGCTCCTCCTGTTTCCTCCCCTCCCTCTTCCCACAAGACCTTTCTCTGGTTCTTCTTTCTACCCTGCATCCACCTCTTTTCTTCCTTTTTTATGATTCTCCCTTCCTTCTTTTTTCCCCTTTCCCCTTCAGTTCTATTTCCTATTTCCTCTGTTCCCTTCCTTCCTTCCTTCCTTTCCTTCCTTCCTTCCTTCCTTCCTTCCTTCCTTCCTTCCTTCCTTCCTTCCCTCCCTCCCTCCCTCCCTCCCTCCTTCCTTTACTAAGCATTAAGTTAGGTGAAAGAGATGATCAAGAGTACTAAGTAATGCACGTGCTGTATCCCCGATCATCTCCTGAGGCATTTTCTTCTCAGTCTTTCTTTCTCACCTCCCCGCTAGGTTGATGCTTCTGTTCTGTGGGCCTGGGATGGGAAGGGAGGTGGTAATAAAATCTGGTTCAATTAAATGTGTGCCTGTATTTGTGTGTATCCTGGGGAGAGAGCTGCACAGCACATGGTGGTCCCTGCCCTTGAAGGACTTGTGGCTGGAGAGGGAGGCTGGGCTACCAGCAGCAGTGTGACAAGTGCTGCCTCAGATGTTTGAATACATTGCTGGGATCTGAAGAAGAACATCAGAAAAGATTTCACAGAGGAGGTAATAGTTGAGATGGGTTTTGAGGGATGAGCCAGAGTTTGCCAGGTTCAGGAGTTCATAGAGATAAAGGCAGTCCTGTCAGAGGGATCACCACAGGCAAAGACATGTTGGTAAGAAAGGGCAAGGAGAATTTAGGGAACTGACAGTAGTTCTGTATGGCTGAAGCCTAGGGAGCTCATGGGAGACTGAAATCCCAATCCAGAAAGGGAGAAACGATGCCCAATGGTCAGCTCACTAGCCATGCGAGAGTGGTCCAGAACAGGGCATTGCTCCCTGCTAAATGAATGGCAAGGGGCGGTGGGAGCTGGGGGTGTTGAGGGGTGTGCCCTGGGCTCTCATGTCCTCCCTACTTGCTGGCTATTCTGCTCTGGGAAACCTACATTAACTGATCCTGGGCCTTGGTTGCCTCATCTATAAAATGAGGATGGTGAAGCCTTATCTCCTGAAGATGGGTAAGACAGACCTGGTTTCTTCGGGTGCCTTTCAGCATTGAGAGCTATAGGATTATGATTACTTGGAGTTTGTTTACCAGCGAAAGCTTCATGGAAGTGGAGGACTTGGTATTCGGCTTTAAAAGATGGCTAGGCTGGGTGTGGTGGCTCACGCCTGTAATCCCAGCACTTTGGGAGGCCAAGGCAAGTGGATCATGATGTCAGGAGTTCAAGATTAGCCTGGCCAAGATGGTGAAACCCTGTTTCTACTAAAAATACAAAAAAATTAGCGGGGCGTGGTAGAGGGTGCCTGTAATCCCAGCTATTCGGGAGGCTGAGACAGATAATTGCTTGAAACTGGGAGGTGGAGGTTGCAGTGAGCCAAGATCGCACCGTGCACTCCGGCCTGGGTGACAAGAGTGGAACTTCGTCTCAAAAAAAAAAAGGCTAATATTGAGCGAAATTGAGAGGAGTGGGGAAGACTGGGGGGACCATGACAAAGATTGGAGACAGGACAGTACAGGGCATGTCTGGAGGACGGTGTGTCCAGTTGGCTTTTGGGGTTGAGGCTGGCTCTAAGGTAGGAGACGACAGGAACATGCCTTGGGCTGTCAGGAGGTTTGTAAGAGTCAAGGCTCTGGTGCACAATCCCCTCCCCACCCCCAGGCCTCTTGGAACCAGACTGAACTGGGAGCCAGAAACATGCAAATGAGATGCAAACAGCAGGTGACTCACACCACTGCACCCACTGCCTGAGGCCTGTTTTGTGTGGGTTTGAGCCACAGGACAGAGGGTCCTGTACTCTTTACCTTCCCTGCCCGGGCTCCTCTTGCCTTACTGGCTAAGCCTGCTAGATTTTGGGGACCCAGGCCTATCAGCTCTTTCGCTTCCCCAGGCCCAAGAGCTATTCCTTTCCCACCCCTCCCCTGATAGAGCCCTTGCCCCTCCCGTTCATCCCTGGTGGACTGGCTCAGTTCCTGTGGAAGCTTCCCAAAGCCCGCAGGAAGTGTCTGCATTTCTCTAACAAGGAGAGTGAAGAGCAGGCCAGAAAAATGACCTGAGACAGAGGGAGTGACTGGGTTGGGGTCTCAGACAGGGGAGACCAGAAGGTAAGGGACAGTATGTTGAGAGGCCAGAGAAAAACAGAGATTTCCAGGGAAGTGGATAGATGCAAACTCAGTGAGCAAAAAGCGCCCCAGAGACCCTGAGAGACACATTCCAGCAGAGACCCTGAGTGACAGAGACAGACGGAGAGAGCCCTTCTCATGTGTCCAGCCTGGGACATGCCGTACCAGCGCCTCTGTCGGCTTTCTCTCGCCTGTCTGCCTGTCCCTGGCTGACGGTCCCTTTGTCTGTCTAGCTCTTTGTTTGTTTGTCTCTTTGTTTGCCTGCCTCCCTCCTGGTTCCCCCTTTCTTTCCCCTCTGCTGTCTATCTGTCGGTCCAGACTTCTCCGTCTGTCATTGCCCTCTGCCTGTCCACTCTCTATGGAGAGCACACTGTCACTGGGGTCACAGGGCCTGTGTCCTCCTCCTGATCTTGGACAGGTTCCTGCTTTTCCTTCTCCTGATTTTGGGTCTCAATTTCCTCCTTTCTAAGGTGGCCCTACTTTCTGCCTCCTGTCACGTTTAGGAGCCTCAGGAGTGTGGAAGGGTGACTGTATTTATGGTTGCTCAGGCATCCTAACAAAGGGTTTAATGCCTTTGAGGAACAATATTGTTCTTCAACCTTCTAAGGACAAAGCAAGAAGACAATAATGGCTGCAGCATGGAGCACAGTGGTTAGACATTCAGAGGGACTTACTAAAAGGGCAGTGTGGAAAATATTAGAGTAGGCCTGCTAAGAGGTTAAACAACCCCTTTCATAATCTCCTGAGGAGGAGTCCCACGGCAGGAAGATACGCAACAAGCCCTTCCTTAGTCTGTGTGGTCTGAGAAAAAGGCTTTTGATGTTATGAGGCAGCAGAGACTTGCAGGAATCAGTTCTCCTAGGCTTCCACCTGCACTGCCTCTCAGGTGGCTGGGGATTGGGCCCTGAGAGAAAAAGGGTGTGGAGGAAGTGCTATCTATCTCTGCAACTCCACCCTGTTTCCCTGTCACCTTCCCAAGCTGAGGACCACCCCACCCTCGCCCCCCAACAATCCATGAGAGATGGCTGCTGGGGACGGAGTGATGTATGTAATGCAGATAAAATGTCAGCAATTCTAAATGGGTCCGGAGATGCAGCCGTGAGTGCGGGGGGAGGGAGAGAGGGCGGAGCAGGGGGGAGAGAGGAAGGGAAAATGAGATGTGGTCCTTACCAGGGATGGCAGCAGGGACAGACACCCTCCTCCCCCCAGCAAAGGCCAGAGGAGGAGTGGGCCCAGGAGGCAGGAGCCCAAATGAGATTTTGAAGAGGGAGCTGGAGGGTGGGGGGTAGAGGGGAGGAGGAGGCGGGCGGGGGCAGTGGGGCCGGAGCTGCTGATGTATAGCGGTTTCATAACTTCCTCAGTATTAAAGGCAGGTTCATGGGGAGGGCAGCGCCATTAATCACCAGGCTGAATGGGGCTGGGATTTGCTGAGAGGCGTGCTTGCTGTCTGCTGCGCCTGCTCAGCTCAGGGTGGGAGGGGGCAGGCAGGGATATCCCTCCTGAACTAAGGGGTGAGACCCCAGGACGCTATTCTGGGTGTTGAGCAAGTGGGTCCTTGCCTGAAGGGGCGGGGAGCCAGGAGCTGGGGACCCTGGCGGAAGAAAGAGAAGGATGAGGAGGGTTGTGGCAGGGGCTAGGAGAGGAGGGTCAGGGGCTGTGGGGAATGATGGGGGCAGAGGCTAAGAGTACTCTAGGGGAAGAAAACTGGGGAGGGAGGATAGTGCATTTGAACATGAAATTGATCACATGTAAATATAATGCAAATGACATGCAAATGAGCATAGGATTTCTCTGGGTCCACAGCTCAAGCATTCTCTTTCTTGGATTGAGCATTGGGGCCAATTTGCATTCAGTTCTGGGCCCAGTGCCTTGTTTCTTTATTATTCATATTTTCAGAGGGAGAACTCAAATCTCACTTGTTAAGGGAGTGGTGGGGCCAACGTGGGCTGGTCCTCTGGACTTCTTGGAAAAGGGTAAAACATCAGGAAAATCAACATGCTTGAGTGACAGTGAGTGACAGTCAGGGAGCTGAGTGGTAGGACTCCTGGGCTACATGCCTGAATTAATGGGGGTCAAAGAGGCAGAGACTCAACAGTAAGGTAGAAAGGTAGAGAGAACAGACATATCCCCATAGCTTATCTGATAGACTCAGAGCAGATAAGACAAGAATGCATCATGTGTCTTGTGAAGTAGGCATTGTCATCCTTTCTTCCAGGTGAAGAACGAAATGATTAGCCCAAGGTTCACAGAGGTCATGAGCTTCCTAAGGTCACACTGCTGGCAAGTGGCAGACTCCCAGCTCCAAATTTCCTCGAAAGTTCAGTGCTCTTTTCAACCTGCCATAAGAGCATCCTTGAGCTGTGCACTGTGGCTCATGCCTGTAACTTCAGCACTTTGGGAAGCTGAGGTGGGAGGATCACTTGAGCTCAGGAGTTCGAGACCAGCCTGGGCAATATAGTGAGACCCCCGTCTCTACAGAAAAATGTAAAAATTAGCAGGGTGTGGTGGTGCACATCTGTAGTCCCAGCAACTTGGGAGGTTGAGGTGGGAGGATTGCTTGAGTCTGGGAGGTGAAGGTTGCAGTGAGCTAAGATTGTGCCACTGCCCTCCAGCCTAGGCAACACAGTGAGATCTTGTCTCAAAAAAAAAAAAAAAAAAAAAAAAAAGGCTAGGCACGGTGGCTTACGCCTATAAGCCTTTGGGAGGCCAAGGCAAGTGGATCACTTGAGGTCAGGAGTTCAAGAGCAGCCGGGCCAACATAGTGAAACCCTGTCTCTTCTAAAAATACAAAAATTAGCTGGGCACGGTGGCAGGTGCCTGTAATCCCAGCTACTCAGGAGGCTGAGGCAGGAGAATCCCTTGAACCTGGGAAGCAGAGGTTGCAGTGAGCCGACATTGTGCCACTGCACTCCAGCCTGGGCAACAGAGCAAAACTCCATCTCAAAAAAAAAAAGAGTATGTCCCTCAAAGTGTTGCTGTGAGGATTAAAGGAAACGATCCACATAAAGCACTCAGGGTGGTGTCTGGTGTGGACAAAGCACTCAGTAACGGTTAGTTGTTGTTGTTATCACCCTTATCACTATTCTGAAAGATGTGGAATGGAGGACAGGGACAGGGAGAGGGGGCACCAGAGAGATGAGAGGGGCAGTATGGGTGGGAAGGAAAGGACAGGTTCAAGAGGGCTGCAGGAGCAAGAGAAGGCAAATGACAGAGCCAGGGCCAGAGGCAAGAAAAGTGTCTTTTGGGAACATTGCAGGGGAAGGAGCAGGGCTCAGAAGAATCACCGTAGGTTCAAGTTCCTGCTCTGTGACTGGTTCCCTGGGAGTGCAGGGCAAGGCAGGGCTGGGCCTCGGTGTTGAGTAGGCTGGAAGCTAGGATTGTTGGGTCGTCCTCCCACTTAGTCCCATAGCCACTCTCTCAGACTCATCTTGACTCCTCTTCCTTGTTGCTTAATTTGGCTCAACCTGTGGGAAATGCTCCTCCCATTCTCCAAGTCTCACTTCCATCCTTCCTGCTAAAGGACTTGGGGATAAGTCCCGTTCCCTTGGCTGTCTGTCTGTCTGATGTCTGTGTGGTCCCTCAGGATAATTGCTCTGGACAACTCTAACACCACTCAGATAGATTGTCCAGCCTCCTGGCCCCGACATCTCCCACCACTGCATCAAGCCAAATTACTCAGCCCCCCCAAGCCCCGGGCTCTGGTGAAATCCGATTAGCGAGGAGAGAGCTGCACTGAGCTGACAGCTCCTCCAATAATTGCTTCCCAAGTAAGTGATGCAAATCAGCCCATCCAGCCTATTCCTGCTTCCCTTTTGGGGACCCAGGAGTCCAGGCCCCAGGAGATGGGGGACACCAGAGTTGAGGAGACCTAGACGCTGTCATCTGCCTCCAGTTAAGTGGGCATAATCCATAAAGCTAGGTTGTGGTGCCTTGGGGCTGAGGTGTGGGTATCAGGGTGGCGAGGCTAAGCCAGGGACCCCACTGTCTCTGCATTTCTGTCTTAACTGAGAGGGCGTCACATTGTCACTTTATTCTCACCCCTTGGAGAATAATCCCATTTCCTTGTAAGGTAGATGAAGGCAGAGATATAGAAGATACAGAGACAGCGAGGTGGCTGAACCTGTTGAGAAACAAATCAGGCAGGTGCGGTGGCTTGCACCTATAATCCCAACATTTTGGGAGGCTGAGGTTGGACGATCACGTGAGCCCAGCAGTTCAAGACCAGCCTGAGCAACATAGCAAGATCCTGTCTCTACAAAAAAAAAAAAAAAAAAAATTAAAAATTAGCTGGGTGTGGTGGTATGCACTTGTAGTGCCAGCTACTGGAGAGGCTGAGGTGGGAAGATTGCTTGAGCCGGGGAGGTCGAGAGTGCAGTGAGCCATGATCATGCCACTGCACTCCAGAGTGAAACCCTGTCCAAAAAAAAAAAAAAAAAAAAAAAGACACAAATGGATAAACTCACAGCCTAGCTCCTCTGGCTGTGGGCCCTGCAGATAGTTTTCTCCCCTTGTGAGTCCCCCTCCTCACTAGGCTGAGGAAAAGACATGGAGTGTTAAGTCCCCACAGATGGAATGGGGATGTTTAGGGAAACTGATCAAGCCTGGAGACTTTCATGCGTGTGTCAAGGACATGTCCTTGGGATGCAGTGGCCCTTGCTTAACTTACACATCAAGGAGCCCTTTTCCCTTCCCCAAATCAGGGCACTTTAAAGGGCCTGTTAATGCTTCTTCCATAATGCATTTCCTTCCCACATCTTTATTTCAGGCTCTTTCTTGCTGTGACCTCCTTATCCCAACTCCTGCTGACCTTGGAGACCTGAAGAGTTACTTTCCTTACAATCCTGAACTTCCAACTCCAAACCTAACCCTGCATGCAGGTCACTGTCTTCGTGGAAATCTACAGGGTGAGCTCCCCAGTCTTGTCCACCATGCTTGTGTGTCTGATAGGGCTTCATGGCCTGGATCTTGGCTACTCAGACTAGCATCTGCCTGAGACCCTGGCAGCACAACAGCAATAACTACCCTTTGTGGAGCCCAAATTCCGTATTAAGCACTTAATGTAATTAAGTTATTTAATCATCACAAAAGAAGATAGAGATTACAATGATTATCCCATTTTACAACTGAGATAACTGAGGCACAGAGAAATTAAGTAGTATGCCCAAGGTCACCATGAGTAAGTGGCACAGCTTGGATTCAAATCCAGCAGTCTGATTCCAGAGCCCACAGTCCTGAGGCCTCTGCTATGCTGCCTTCACTCTCCTATGCTCTTGTGATGTTTGTTGGGCTAATCGAGACAGGGCCCAGTGTAGAAGTGGGGAAGGTGGCTACACTGAAAGTTAAACACCAGATCCCCCTTTGGGGCTCCCCAGGTCAGAGACAGTGAGTGGGAGTTGAGCAGGGTGACACTCCGTATCTAGGAAGGGGGAAACATGGCCTTCACCTTCTCCAATTCCGGACCTTCGTTTTCTGCAGTGGGAGGCCCTGCAGCTAGACAGCCCTTCCCGGTTGAGAAGAGGGGAGGTAAGGGAAAGGCTGAAAGATCCGCCTAGAAGCCCAAGTGAGCAGAGTCGGAGCTAGGACCCGAAGAGGCCGATAGATGGCGCTCATGGCCCAACACAGCTCCAGCAGCCCGAGGAAACCAAAGGAAAACAAGTGAGCAGGTTAACCCCTTCCCTCCTGGGCTCAGGACAGAGTTGCTGGCTGGTGGGTATGCAGGGAGCCCTGCCCCAGGCCTGGTGCCTCAACTCTCTAGGCTCTTACCCAGGCGATAATCTGGGTCATCTTCTGTTCCTGCCCAACAAAGCTTTACCCATAAATCATGGTCAGCAGCCTCCTGAAGACTTCCCAGAAGACATGAAGACTAATAAACGGAAGACACTGGTTGGGAGAGCTGCACCCAAGCCCATGTTTCATCTCTTGGGCTCTATCTCTTGAAAGCCTCAGGGTCTCTGTTTCTAAGCACCCCTACTTCAGGAGAGCGCCTCACCTCCATCTTTCCTGGGAGTGACTCACTGGGTGGGGAGGAATAGCATGCATGGACTACAGAGAGAGAAGGCCCCAGGCCCCTCTGGCATTAGCTATAGGGACTCACTGTGGGCTGCCTAAGCCTCAGTTTCTCCTTATATCTGGACTTCCTATCTCTGGGTTCCCTGGGGTGGATGGGCTTATAGGGAAAGAAACAGTTATTCAAGTCTTGTAGGAAGTTGAAATCGGGTGGGGAGGTGGAGGTCCTGGGGGATTTCTGCTTGCCTCTTACTCATTTCACTCATTACTGTTCTGCCAGAAGCTGACTTTGAATGTGGAGGGGTTGCCAAGATGACAAACTAGAACAGAAGTGCTGGGCAAGCAAATGACAGAGGGGTCAGGGCTGGGCAGGAGGGCTGTCCAAGGGATGGTGGAGATCCTGGAATTTTTAAGCAACGAGATGACACCACAATGAGGTCCCCCCACTTATTTTTGGTCAGAAACACAGAAATACATAGATACACAGAGATGGGGGAACTTTTTCTAGAAGCTCAGATCCTCTTATTCCAGTCATTCTAGAGTAAGAAGCAGAAACAGGGAGATGTTCACAGAGGGAGAGAGAGACACACAGATACAGAGAGAAAGCTACACAAGAGACTAGAAATAGAGACAAATTTACATAAGTAGAGAGGGGCAAATAACATAGGCAGAGAGAGACATAGACAGGGAGAGGATCTGGTAAAAATTAAAGCTCAGAAAATTATGGGCTTCATGAGGTGGATGATTAATTCCATTTCCAAAGTCTTGCAAGGGTCAGGGTAGTTTCTCACCTTTGATGTCAGAAGGTCACTGCTCACAGCTCCCTGAAGCTCCTACTGCACCCATTAAGTTTTTGTTGATAGGAGATCAGACAAGTCCTGGGAAGGGGGTAGCATCCTTTTTCTCTCACTTCTTCCTGTTCTGGGGTTTATAGTTCTCCTTCTCTACCACTCACAGGGAGACCTTGCTTCTGTGATTAGAGCCTTGGCTGTGCTAAGGTGTGTGGAGAGTGTGGGGTGGAAGGAATAGAGAAGATAACTAACCTTAGGGGGTTCCCAGTCTAATGAAAGTTTTAGAGTCAGGACACAGAACCAGACCCAGACAGAGCATAAGAACAAAACTAGGAATAGGACAGATTTGGATATAGATATTGGGATAGGGGAATGGGAGGGGAATGGGGGGGAATGGACTGTTAGGTGCAGCCATGGGATTAGGATTGATCACTCTTCCTAGGAAGTCCAAATACTTTGGACTTTCCTGGACAAAATATTTGAGGGAGAAGATTTGGAAGGAAGAGTGGTAGCTAACTTTATGTGTCTACTTGAGTGGGCTAAGGGACACCCAGATAGCCAGAAAAACATTATTTCTGGATATGTCTGTGGAGTGTTTCTGGAAGAGATTCGCATTTGAATTGGTAGACTGAGTTAAGAAGATCACCCTCATTAATGTGGGTGGGAACCATTCAATCCCTTGGGGGCCCAGTAGAACAAAAGGGTGGAGGAAGGCAAATTCTCTTTCTTGGTGAGCTGGGACATCTATTTTACCTGCCTTTGGACATCATTGGAGTTCCTGGTTCTTCGTCCTTCAGGCTCTGGGACTTAGCAGTGAGCCCCCTCCCCTGCTTTGGACTTTCCTGAATTATACCACCTGTTTTTCTGGTTCTTCAGTTTATAGACAGCAGAGCAGGAGACTGTGGGACTTCTTGGCTTCCACAATCCTGTGAGCCAATTCTTGGAATAAATCTCCTCATATAGATAGATATCCTGTTAGTTCTGTTTCTCTGGAAAACTCTTGACTAATACTGAGGTTATAGGGTTGGGCAGATAGCAAGGCAGAGAAAGAAGTCAAAATGGTGACACCCTGGAGATGGGCTTGGACAGTAATGGGGGATGCTCCTTGCTAAAGAGTTGTTAGGAGCTACCAGAAATGTCGTCGTGGATGTTCTATATACAGTAATGGCAGGCTGCAGAGGAGAGGTCCCTTATACCCAGGGTGGCAGGGGGCCTAGAAATGATCTTTAGGTATTGTTAATACCTCAAGTGGATGAGGGATTGGGGATGGTTGAAGTTTCCTGATTTGTAATCCCTTTGGGAAAAATGTGAATGAACTTTTGGAAGGGCGATGCCCTTTAGGGATAGAACTCAGGATTTCCTAGGTACTTACAGGCTCTGGCCTTTCGCTTCTCAAGACTTCCTGATTTAACACTGATGGAAAGATTAAACTACAATTCCCAGCGATGTTTAGAGCTAATTTAGCGCGCCTTCCGGGATTGAGCATTTCCGGCGGAAGTGGCCGCGGGCACGCCAATCTCCTTCCCTAAACAATGTAGACTACGACTCCCACTGTCCTTAGCGCCTGGGGTTGAGTTTGCGGGGGAAAGGAACCGGAAACGGGATGGGGAGCTGGACCAGGTGAGGAAGTAGGAGGCTGGCAACCTCGGACTGTGGGGGAAAGTTGAGGGCTCCCAGGGTTGTCGGGGCTGAGCCGAGAGGGTAGTCAGGATTTCTATGTTTTGGGGTCCGTCTCTCCGTATGGGGTTAGACTCAGTGCAGGGAGAGCCCAGCGTATGAAACCGCCTGGGAGGTCTGCAGGATCAAGGCTTTCCTGCCGTCCAGAGCCAGCGGGCGTCCCCGGAGGTTTTGTATGGTGCCTTAGTAGTCGGCCCCTTGGGAAACAGATGAAATGGTCTTTTTGAATTTATGCTTTATTATTATTTATTTATTTTTCCGAGACGGAGTCTTGCTCTGTCTTCCAAGCTGGAGTGCAATGGCCCTATCTCGGCTCACACTGCAACCTCCGGCTCCCGGGTTCAAGCGATTCTCCTGCCTCAGCCTCCTGAGTAGCTGGAATTACAGGCGCGCGCCACCATGCCCGGCTAATTTTTGTATTTTTAGTAGAGACGGGGTTTCACCATGTTGGTCAGGCTGGTCTCGAACTCTTTTTTTTTTTTTGAGACAGAGTCTCGCTCTGTCGCCCAGGCTGGAGTGCAGTGGCCGGATCTCAGCTCCCTGCAAGCTCCGCCTCCCGGGTTCACGCCATTCTCCTGCCTCAGCCTCCCGAGTTGGGACTACAGGCGCCCACCACCTCGCCCGGCTAGTTTTTTTTTTATTTATTTATTTTTTTTTTATTTTTTTTTAGTAGAGACGGGGTTTCACCGGGTTAGCCAGGATGGTCTCGATCTCCTGACCTCGTGATCCGCCCGTCTCGGCCTCCCAAAGTGCTGGGATTACAGGCTTGAGCCACCGCACCCAGCCTATGCTTTATTAGTATTATTTAGTTTAAGGGTATTTCTTATTGTCCCTTGGACTCCGCTCCAAGGGACAGGGGAGTGCATATGTGTCTTCGATTCCTTCCTCACTTCCCTGATTTGATGTCAGAGAAGTCTGACATCAGTCTGAAGTCTGGCCTTGGCGGTCAGCCTTATCTCTGAGTCCAACTCCACTGCCTTTGTGCTTAATGTAATATGACACTATATTTTATAAAATATCTACATTTCTTAAGCCTCTGGCTCTTGGGGCGACTTTGGGTAGAACTTACAAGTTCCTCCTTTGAATTCTTCTAGTGTTTTGTTCCGGGTTTTAAAGCTAACATCACACTGTATTACAGTTAGTTGTTTATCTGCCCTCACAGCAGTTTATGAGCTTACGGAAAGCCTGGCTACATTTTACTTATTTTGGACTTCTTCCTCACCAAGAGACTGCTGTAGTGCCTGTCATGTAAGAGACTCATAAGTATTGAAAAAAAATAAATGAGTTAACAGGTGGTAGGTTGGATGGAATATGTGATTTTCATAGAGGAGAGAGTTAAATGAGTTGCTCAAGAGAAGCTTCTTAGAGATGAAACAGGAGTAGAATTCAAATCAATTGCCTTCCAGCCTGTGGCTCTTGCTATGAGATCAGGTTTTGAAGTTATGGAACAATGAAAGTAGTGTCTTGTCACTCTTTTCCCCGGCCTTGCTGTTTCCAACACAGGTGTCTAAATATCAAAGGTAGGCTCAAGACTTCTCTTGAGATTCTAGAGCTAGAGCAGCTAATCTGCTAATGTTGGTATTGCATGGGGAGATGCAAAGCAAGGTCCTCTGAAACACTGGCGTTCTCCACAGCACCCTTCTCAGCTTTTGTATGAGCCCAGTTTGTCCTGGGTAGCCACCTGGACAACCGATCAGTTAAAAACTACTGAGATCAGTCAGGGAAGGACTTCTTAAGTTGGGCTTCTGATTTTTTTTTTCTTTCCCACTTCCTCTAGGCTAGGGTGAGAAAATAGGTTTATCAAGCTGTTGTGTCAACCTTCAGTTCTCATCTTGGAGAAGAGGTCACAGATGACCCAGGCAGAAAGTTGAGAAGAAGGAATGACAATGGTTCTTGTCGCATGGGAGATGCAGATGTGATGGCCACAGACCCAGAGCCTGGAAAACAAGCAGAGTGCAGAGTGGGCAGCTGAGCCTTGAGTGAACTCAGGATATAGAAGTGGAGAGGGATCCATCAGGAGTGCCTTCTTGATAAAAGGTGTTTATTTTTATTTTTTAGAGATGGGGTCTCACTATGTCAGCCAGGCTGGTCTTGAACTCCTGGCCTCAAGCAGTTCTTCTGCCTTGGCCTCCCAAAGTGCTGGGATTACAGGCATGAGCCACTGTGCCCGGCACAGAAGGTAGTTTTAAACAAAAGTGAAAAAGAAGATGGACATTGCTAAGCAGGTGTTTGTTGATAGTGCCTAATAAGGGCCAGGACCTTGGGCTTATGGAGGGAGATTGAACAGGGCCTGGCTCTTGATCTGCCCAAGTTTGGCTGGGGAGGCAAAAGGAATTCATTAAGACGATGGTAACCATGGTGATACACAGTGGTTCTCAGCCTTCACCAACCATCAGAATCGCCCTGGGAAGCTTGTCTAAAATACAGATTCCCATCCCAGCACTTTGGGAGGCCGAGGTGGGCAGATCACGAGGTCAGGAGTTCGAGACCAACCTGACCAACATGGTGAAACCCAGTCTCTACTTAAAATATGAAAATTAGCTGGGCGTGGTGGCATGCGCCTGTAATCCCAGTACCCAGGAGGCTGAGGTGGGAGAATCACTTGAACCTAGGAGGCAGAGGCTGCAGTGAGCTGAGGTCACGCCACTGCACTCCAGCCTGGGCGACAGAGTGAGACTGTCTCAAAACAAAACAAAACAAAACATAGATTCCCAGGCCTCACACGGGACCTACTTGTGTTGGGGGTGGGGGTGGGACACTATGGCAAATACTGCACTGTTCTGAGGAGGGAAGACTATCAGAGGGATGGTTTGAGCTGCATTTTGAAGGATGGGAGTGATTTGGATATGTGGGCAGGTTGGGGAATCACAGTCCTAGTTGACTGGATGACTGTTGGATGATGTTCTGGTTGACTTCAGGAGTGTATTTGGTTGGATTGTAGAAATGGTATATTCAAAGTTTTGGGAGCTGAGGTAGGAAAGGCATTTTGAAAATGTAAGTAGAATGGTCAGGTTGGAACACTGGGTTTGAATGGGAGTGGAGCGAAGGAATGGCCTTTGCAGTTTATGAAGCTTGCTGTCTCCTCTCCTTCCACCCCTGCCCCTCCCTTCTCCTTCCTCCCACTTCCTTTCTCTCTTCCCTTTCTTCTTCCTCTCCCATTTCTTCCTTTTCTTCCTTCACCTAAACATAACATCTCATTCCATCCTTATGTCTGTTTGTTTGTTTTGAGACAGAGTCTCCCTCTGTAGCCCAGGCTGGAGTGCAGTGTCATGATCTCGGCTCACTGCAACCTCCGCCTCCCAGGTTTTGGTTCAAGCAGTTCTCCTGCCTCAGCCTCTCAAGTAGCTGGAATTACAGGCATGTGCCACCACGCCCAGCTAATTTTTGTATTGTTAGTAGAGACGGGGTTTCACCATGTTGGCCAGGTTGATCTTGAACCCTGACCTCGTGATTCACCTGCCTCAGCCTCCCAAAGTGCTGGGATTACAGGCGTGAGCTGCTGCACCTGGCAAATTTTTTTTTTTTTTTGGAGACAGAGTCTTGCTCTTTTGCCCAGGCTTGAGTGCAGTGGCGCGATCTCGGCTCACTGCAACCTCCACCTCCCAGGTTCAAGCAATTCTCCATGCCTCAGCTTCCTGAGTAGCTGGGATAACAGGCGCCCACCACAATGCCCAGCTATTTTATTTTTTTGAGACAGAGTTTCGCTCCTGTTGCCCAGGCTGGAGTGCAATGGCGCGATCTCGGCTCACTGCAACCTCCACCTTTCGCGTTCAAATGATTCTGCCTCAGCCTCCCGAGCAGCTGGGATTACAAGCGTGCATGACCAAGCCCGACTAATTTGTATTTTTAGTAGAGGTGGGGTTTCTCCATTTTGGTCAGGCTGGTCTCCAACTCCCGACCTCAGATGATCCACCCACCTCGGCCTCCCAAAGTGCTGGGATTACAGGCGTGAGCCACCTTGCCCGGCATGCCCAGCTAATTTTTGTATTTTTTAGTAGAGACGGGGTTTCTCCATGTTGGACAGGCCGGTTTTGAACTCCTGACCTAAGGTAATCCACCCGCCTTGGCCTCCCAAAGTGCTGGGATTACAGGCATGAGCCACTGTGCCTGGCCTTCCTTATGTCAACATTATTAAGTGGATATTATTATTCTTTGTATTTGAAGGCAGAAACCTGAAGCTCTTGGCCATGGTTGCGTAGCTTGTAAGATTCTATGAGGAGTCTGTAATCATCCTACTAGGTATTCCTGAATGTGGGAAAGAAGCCAGGCTGGGGTTAGGGGGTTGTAGAATTGGCAGGGTGGCTGATCAAACCATCTAAGGCAAGATGGTGTGGGTGGTTAAAGCATAACCTTGAGCCAGAGAGATTGGGCTCAATCAAATCCCAGCTTTATTTCTTACTAACTGCAAGACCTTGGGCAAGTTGCTTAATCTTGCTAAGCCTCAGTGTCCTCACTTATAACAGGGGAGCAGTAATACCCACCTCATGGGATTGTTGTGAGGATCAATGAGGTGTACCTGGCGCAGAGTAGTCGCTCACCACCTGGAAGCTATTGTAATTAGCCTTCCCAGGTCTCTGGGCTATGGCTGTGCACTTGCATTTCATTCTTCAGCACCGTGCTTTCCAGAACACAGTTCATTCTGGCTGGGCTTTTCTTTTTTAGGATGACATTAAAGGTGCTGAAAGGATGCCACCAGTAAATGTTTACTGAAAACCTACTATGTGTTCGGCATAGCCCAGGAACTAGTGACTCAGACCTATGCCTGATGGAAAGGAGATTTAGAGTGGGAGATGTTTGGTGGCTATGGCTTATCCTCACCAGGTGCCATGTGAAGAGGACAGATACTGGAAGTGGGGAGGGAATGGGCCCTTCATTACCGTGAATTGAGATGAGTTCAGTCCTACTGGTGGTTGGTAGATGACTGACATGGTCTCTTAGGGTCCCTTCTGAGCCCAGGAAATGGTAGTGGGGGCCCTGGGAACCATGGATCCCTCCTACTTTGTGGCTGAGGGATGATGGGGCCTCTGTCCATCTCTTTTCCCAGGTGACAGCGGCATGGCCATATGCCCCAGGCTTTCCTGCTGGGGTCCATCCATGAGCCTGCAGGTGCCCTGATGGAGCCCCAGCCCTGCCCTGGAAGCTTGGCTGAGAGCTTCCTGGAGGAGGAGCTTCGGCTCAGTGCTGAGCTGAGCCAGCTGCAGTTTTCGGAGTCTGTGGGCGTCATCTACAATCCCTTGGAATATGCATGGGAGCCACATCGCAACTACGTGACTCGCTACTGCCAGGGCCCCAAGGAAGTGCTCTTCCTGGGCATGAACCCTGGACCTTTTGGCATGGCCCAGACTGGGGTAAAGGGTTTGGCTGCCTCAGTGGGTGGAGTGGGGGGCTCTAGGTGGATGCTTGGCTGGGTGTGCTGCGAAGAAAAGGAGCATGTGCATGGCTGTAGATGTGTGTAGGTCCCCTCGCCCCATTCTCTCTCAACACACATACTGGCTCCTGTGGTATGAGGCCCTCTCCCAGCGTCTCTGCCCGTAATTAACCAAGCACATTAATGGTAGTTTCGTTTTCCCTGTGAGCTGGCCACTAATTGTCTCTGAGAGCCCTTCCTTCCACCAGCCCCATCCTTCCTTTACTGGATCTCCCCTGTCCCTGGAGTGTGGTTGGGGTCAGAAGAGGGACTAGGACTGCTGGGTCCTCAGAAGAGACTGGTTGACAGGGGTGGGTATGTAAGAGATGCAGGGTGTTCTGGGAGCCTGGGTTCTGTTTCCTAGCTAAGGCGAGGTTCAAAACAGAGCCTGGCTCCAGTGCCTGCCCGCTTTTCTTTCAGAGCTCAGGATGAGTGACTGCCCCTCAGTGGGGGTGCTTGGCAGTTGGAGGAGGGCAAGAGGCTTCAGGGTAGAAGGCTCAATCGCTTTTATTGACCCCAACTGGGTGATGAAAGGTGATCAATGATGATTGATGGAAATGACAGCCTGAGGCTTGGGGCTGGGAGGGCACCCAGAGAGCAGTGGTCAGCCTGTCCTTGTGCCTCCTTTAACCCTGGCTGCCTTTCTGTCTCAGGCCATTTGTCTGTCCCCAGTACTAACCATCAAACCCTGTGTAGGGCTAGATATCTCCGTGTAGTCCCTGTACTTGGTCCCAAAGACTACTTGGGCTAGAGGCAAACAGATTCTTCTGGGCCACAGTTCACAATGAAGAAATGGAAAAAGATGGACAGGTTCAAACCATAGGGCCAAGAATCCTTGTCTCAGGCCTTTGGGTGAAGGTGGGGTGGGGGGTGCAGGCTGGATTCTCATGGAAGGTATAAAGAAGTCAGTCGGTCCAGAACCCGGGCCTCAGGTCTCCAGTTTGAAGCCTTTCATGTCTCTCTCCTTCCTCACAGGTGCCCTTTGGGGAAGTAAGCATGGTCCGGGACTGGTTGGGCATTGGGGGGCCTGTGCTGACCCCTCCCCAAGAGCATCCTAAACGACCAGTGCTGGGACTGGAGTGTCCACAGTCAGAAGTGAGTGGTGCCCGATTCTGGGGCTTTTTCCGGAACCTCTGTGGACAGCCTGAGGTCTTCTTCCATCACTGTTTTGTCCACAATCTATGCCCTCTGCTTTTCCTGGCTCCCAGCGGGCGCAACCTCACCCCTGCTGAGCTGCCTGCCAAGCAGCGAGAACAGCTTCTTCGGATCTGTGATGCAGCCCTCTGCCGGCAGGTGCAGCTGCTGGGGGTGCGGCTGGTGGTGGGAGTTGGCCGACTGGCAGAGCAGCGGGCACGACGGGCTCTGGCAGGCCTGATGCCAGAGGTCCAGGTGGAAGGGCTCCTGCATCCCTCTCCCCGTAACCCACAGGCCAACAAGGGCTGGGAGGCAGTGGCCAAGGAAAGATTGAATGAGCTGGGGCTGCTGCCACTGCTGTTGAAATGAGTGCCCCTAGGGCCTTGTATGGGACACATTCAAGACCTCGAAGTCATTCTTGGCCAAACAGGTGACAACACATCTCCTGGACTGGAGCAAAAAGTCCTTCTGTGCTCCCTGGTCGCTGGGAAATGTATTCTTTGATCTGTTGAACTGTCTTCCAACCTGCCGTGGCAGTTTTGACACTACTCCTGTTTGCCCTCCTGATTCCTGCTTTCTTTACCTTTGAACATTGCCCCTTTCAGGGGACCCCAGTTTGTAGGGAATCCACAGAAGGTGTGCTTTTGCACTTGCAGACTGCTCTACCTCAGTGTTTCCTCGGGAGACTATTCAGCTGAGAGTGCCCTAGACAGTAACTTCCAAGGTCACATTTACTATTTCCATGGAAGTACCTTGCCAGGACACCTACCCATCCTTATAGAACAGCTACCTTCAGCTGACCCCTTTCCTCACAGGGACCAAGACAAAGCATGGGACATGAAATTAAGAGTGAACTTCTTATGGGAGGCTGCAGCTGGATCAGAGGAAAAATCCAGTGTGGCAGAGTGAAAGTCAGAAGACCTGGCTTTTCATCCCAGCTTTGAGACTTGGAACTTTTTGATGGACAAATTGATAAACCTCTTTAAGCCTCAGGCTCCTCATCTGTAAAATGGGGATGCCTACCTTATGGGGTTGGTATAAGGATTAACTGAGATAACATTTGAAAGTGCCTTACATGGGCCTGGCATGTGGGTGCTCATTACATAGTCTTCTTGCTTTCTTGCCTCTGGGTTGGGGATTCACAGCACTGCACTACAAGGGTAGCCCCTCTCCATTCTGGATACCTTGCTAGGGGAGAGTCTGGGCTTCCACCTGTGGCCAGGGTGAGGGGAGAATTCTTGCCTTGTCAGAGATGGATCAGTGACTATGAAAAACCTAGCCTGTGATTTTTTTTTCACTCTAAGCATTAAAAGCTCCTAAAGCCTTTTGTCTTCTTACTTTCTTCCCCCTCTTGCATGCTAGAGGGGGATGATAGTCATTTAGATTTCCCCCCTCTTACCTCTTCATTGTTGGCAAGGGGTTCTCTTGGGTAGCTGGGAGAAGGATGTAGTAGATCTCTTTTTTTTTTTTTTGAGATGGAATCTCATTCTGTTGTCCAGGCTGGAGTGCAGTGGTGTGATCTCAGCTCACTGCAACATCTGCCTTCCGGGTTCAAGTGATTCTCTTGCCTCAGCCTCCTGAGTAGCTGGAATTACAGGCATGCGCCACCACGCCTGGCTAATTTTTGTATTTTTAGTAAAGACAGGGTTTCACCATGTTGGCTAGGCTGGTCTCAAACTCCTGACTTCAAGTGATCCACCTGCCTTGGCCTCCCAAAGGGCCGGTGCCTGGCTGGATTTGGTAGATCTCTAATTGCCTTACCATACCTGCAGGGTCTCTGTTAAGTGTCTGTTGGGATCTTATATGATACCGTGGACACTGCGAGAAACAGATGATGGGGCAGATGGGAACCTGGGATCCAGCTCATTTTTTATGTCTGCTGAATGGTTGATTGGGTGCCCCTTTGTTTGGTAAGGGCTGGGAAAGTGAACCAAGTTGGAAGCAGAGCAGGTCTTGAGACCACCTTAATGAGGAACACATGGTCTACTTCCCATCTCCTGGGACACAGGTAATTTCCAGCTTCCAAAATTAATAAGATTTTTCATATAAATCCTCCCCTACTTCATTGTATAATAAATAATTTGGCCTTTGTCTTCAGTTCCTGAGAAGAAGACTCTAAATTCTTAGAATTTCCCAAGTGATAGGAGTATCTTTGTTTTTCGTGGCGGGTCCCTGAAACTACACCTGAATTTATGTTGAGATTTGACCTTAGGCCACACCTTATTTTATATTGAAATTTGATCTCAGACCACACCTGAGTTTATGGTAAGATCTGGCTGAGGATAGAGGCTGACCATGCCAGAATGACCAACCATATAGTTACAGGGCTGGGACTTGGAGCTGGATGATATCAGCTTGATCCCCAGGGAGGGGAGAGGGGCTAGAGATTGAGTTCCGCCACATGCCCATGATTTTAACCACATTATACCTATGGTAAAACTCTCTATATAAAAACTTCTCACACTGAGGTTTTGGTCAGCTTCCTGGCTGGTGAACACATGGATGTGCTGAGGGATGAGCAGAGGGCACACAGCTGTGCCTGGACACTCCTGGACTCTACCATATATTTGTCTTCATTTGGCTGGTTCTGATTTGTATCTTTTGTAATAGAATTATAATCATAAGTATAGCATTTTCCTGAGTTCTGTGAGTCATTCTAGGAAATTCTGCAACCTCAGGGTGGTGGGGGATGGGTTGTGGAAACTCCTGAATTTATAGCCAGTTGGCCAGAAGTGCAGGTGGTCTGGGGATCCTTGAGCTTGTAGCTGACATCTGAAGTGACAGCAGTCTTGTTGGGGACTATGCCCTTAAACCCACAGGGTATGCACTAACTCCCTGTAGTTAGCGTCAGAGTTGCATTACAGTATTGAACCTCCACATGCCGTAGACTCCTTTCCTTCTCTTTTTTTGGTCAGTGCTATGTAGTGAGTGTCCCATGTTGCAGAGCACTGGATTAGGTACTGTGGAATAACTGCACAGAGATAGAAGCCATCATTTCATTATATATTAAGCTGAGATAATCAAGGAAAGCTCTCTGGAGGAGGCGGCATTTCAGGTAGCCTTAAGACTGGGAAAGTTTTGGATAACTTAGAGAACAGCATTGTTATGTTCAAGGGGTGGCAAGTTGTATTGGGGTCTAGAGAGACAGAACTAATGATACATGTATGTATGAAAAGGAGTTTATTAATGATTGACTCACCCAGGGTGAAGTCCCACAATAGGCCGTCTGCAAGTTGAGGAGCAAGGAAGTCAGTAGTGGCTCAGTCCAAGTCCCAAATCCTCAAAAGGAGAGAAGCTGACAGTGCAGCCTTCTGTCTGTGGCCTAAGGCCCAAGAGCCCCTGGCAAACTACTGGTGTAAGTCCAAGAGTCCAAAAGCTGAAGAACTTAGATCTAATGTGTGAGGGCAGGAAGCATCCAGCATGGGAGAAAGATGAGGGCTGGAAGACTCAGCAAGTCAGCTTCTTTCACCTTTTTTCTGCCCGCTTTTTCTAGCCACCTTAGCAGCCAATTGGATGGTGTCCACCCACATTCTGGGTGGGTTTTTCTGTGGGTGGGTCTTCCTCTCCCAGTCTACTAACTCAAATGTTAATCTCTTCTGGCAACACCCAGAAACACCCAGAAACAATACTTTGCATCCTTTAATCAAGTTGACACTTAATATTAACTAACATACAAGTAGATTCCTATTGGCTTGGCCCAGTTGGGAGAAAAAGATGAAGCGGTAGATCGAAGCTAGCTTGTGAAGGGCCTGGGGTGCTAGAATAATCTTTGAGAATTTAAAATGTAGTGGGGGAAGTGAGATACACAGAACACACACACTGAAAATACCCAACGATAGGTAGAAACCCATAGAAGGAGATGAAGGGGCAAACCGTGTAGGAGGCAGTGTGGGTGCAGTGGGGAAACGATGGGAAGGGAGGGGATGAGTCTATAGGGAGGACATCTGGGGTATAGCAGGTCTGGTTGAAAGCCTAGAGTTGGGGTCTCTAGGTGATGAGATAGTGGGATAGGATTGGGTAGTACACAGAGGGACTTGAACAGTAGTGACCAGAATGACCTGAAGGCCTGGGTATAGCAGAGTCACTGCTGGGTCTGGGTCCTTGTGGGGCTGTTGCTTTCAATTCCTGGGGTGCATCTTGTGGGAGAGGTTGATGAAGGTCCTGGGCCTGCCTTTTCCTGAGGGCACTATATTATGCTGCTAGGGCTGCCATAACAAAACTACCACAGACTGGGTGGCTTAAAACAACAGAAATGTCTTTTCTCACAGTTCTGGAGCTTGTAAGTCCAGGATCAAGATGATTTGATCTTTCCTGAGGCCTCTCCTTAGCTTGCAGATTGCTGCCTTCTTGCTGTGTCCTCCCATAGCCTTTTCTGAGCATGTACCTCCCTGGTGTTTCTCTTCTTAGAAGGACACCAGTCATACTGGATGAGCCCCCTCCTTATTACCCAGTTTAACCTTAGGTGCCTCTTTAAAGGCCCTATATCCAAATATAGTCGTACTGGGGCTTCAACATACAGATTGGGTGGGGTGAGGGGCATAATTCAGTCTATAACAGGCACACAAAGACATGTCACTGCTTTTTTTGTCCCCAACCAATGTCAACGGTAAACAAATAGGGTACTTAGGAGTGCCTTTTTTCCAGTCTGAGGATTGGAAGTTGGTCTAGGGGCTTAGGTAGCTGATCAGACTTACTCTCACCAGACTGGCTTTTACCCTTCAATTCATTCTAGAGCAGTTTCTTCAGTGCAAATGAGAGTGTCCTCAGGGAAAGGAAGTTCATTGTTTTTTTCTGAGTGGAAGAGAATGGAGCCTTTGGCTGCTACAAAACAGCATTGTGAGAATTATTCTAAAGCCAAACTGAAATAATTTGGTGTCATCTAGACTTCTGTAGACCAATACAGTAGCCACTAGCCATGTGTGGCTGTTTTAGTTCAAAGTGATTAAAATTAAGGAAAAAAATTCAATTCTTCAGTTCATATTTCAAGTGCTTAATAGCCACACATGGCTAGTGACTGCTGATTGGATGACACAGAAATTGAACATTTCCATTATCACAGAAAGTTCTGTTGGACAGCACTGATCTAGAGATCAGTGGCTTACAACCTTGCCTATGAATCAGAATTAACCTATGGAGGTTTAAAAAAACACAAGGGTCTCAGCTGCACTTCAAGATATTTTGATTTGTGAGGTGCGAGGGGTATCCTGCTACCAGTCTACAACAGAATCTCTCCATGCTACCAATATGCAGCCAAGGTTCAGGCAGGAGTGTCCTGAGTGTCTTGAAGGCAAGGGCCAGGGTCTCCTTTTTCTTTCCCCAGTATGTAATCCCACACCTGGCACAAAGTAGGTATTCAGAGCAGACATGGAAGTAATGCATGAATCTGGTCTGGGAGAGCTGGCTGTGTGCCATCCAGAAACACTAGTTTCTCTAGAGTTTGTTGTTTTTGCCTGGTGATGGTGATTCAAGTTCTGATTCAGAGGAATGATGGCGGTCCCACCCCAAAACACACAAACTCAACTTGGTAGAGACCAAGGCTGTGCTTCGGTTGGGATGCTTCTGAGATTCTGAGGGGTGGATTGTGTTGGTGAAGAAACAGAATTTTCTTACCTCTGGTTTTTTTTTTTTTTTCTTCTTTTTTTCTTTTTGAGACAGGGTGTCCTTCTGTTTCCCAGGCTGGAGTGCAGTGGCACGGTCATGGCTCATTGCAGCCTTGACTTCCTGGGCTCAGGTGTCCTCCCATCTCAGCCTCCCAAGTAGCTGGGACTATAGGCATGCACCACTATACCCCGCTAAGTTTTTGTAGAAAAAACTTTCTACAGGCATGAGGCACCATGCCCAGCTTCTTCTTCTTTTTTTTTTTTTCTTTTGAGACAGAGTTTTGCTCTTGTTGCCCAGGTTGGAGTGCAATGGTGTGATCTTGGCTCACCACAACTTCTGCCTCCCGGGTTCAAGCGATTCTCCCGCCTCAGCATCCTGAGTAGCTGGGATTACAGGCATGTGCAAACATGCCTGGCTAATTTTGTATTTTTAGTAGAGATGGGGTTTTTCCATGTTGGTCATGCTGGTCTCGAACTCCCGACCTCAGGTGATCTGCCTGCCTTGGCCTCCCAAAGTGCTGAGATTATAGGCATGAGCCACTGCGCCCGCCCCCAGCCTTTTATCTCCCTCTCTCTCTTTTTTTTTTCTCCCTTACTGATACAGGATAGCTTAAAGGAAAATTGGGTCTTGAATTTGGCCACTGTGTGGTCTCACTTTCCTTTTTCAATTCAATAAACATTTATTGATGTCTGCTGTGTGTGTGTCATTCCTTGTGCTAGGCACTGTAGAGAGTGACAGAGGTGAATTAGATGATTCTTTGCCCTCACGTTGTTCACTGTCTAGTGCTGGGAGATACAGGCATATAATTATAGTATAAATCAAGCTGAAAGCATGTTGTGAACAAGTTATAAACACAGCGCTCTGGGCACACTGAATGAGGAAGTGATTAGCCCTCAGAGTCTGGGGAGGAGGTGTGTGTGCCTGTGAGAAAGGGCAGTGACTGGAGATTTCTTTTCTCATCACTTGCTAAATCTTACCACCTCCACGGAGTGGATATTTGCAAAAGGGGACCACTGTGTCAGATATGTCCAAGAATTTCTCAGCCCCAACTGCAAGGCCCTAGGAAACAGGATGAGGGGAGGGGCTCAGATGCCAGGAATTAGGCAAGAGCCAAGGGTTGGGTGTGGCCCTATGGAAGATGAGAAGTGGAGGTTCCTTTCAGAACACATCTGTTAACTGTGGGGATGGAAAACTGTAGCAGATCAAAAAAGATTGGAAATGCAGCCTGGCCGCAGCTGGGGTAGAGAAGCTAGTGATGGAATGGAAGAAGGGAATAGAGATTGCGGCCTATCCCAGACTAAGTCTTGACTCTGAATATTCTTGTTTAGGAGGATATAGGGCAGCTGTTTCCTCTTCTTCCCTAGTGCTCCAAAGAAGTAAAGAACTTAACTGGAGCTTGAGACATTGAGGTTAGACACATGGATAAACTTCCCAGCTATGACCATCAGGTGATATAGAAATAAATTACTTTGGAGGAAGATGAATTGCTTTCTTCTTCAGAGACCTTAATGCCAGCCTGGCTTGAGCCGATGCTTACCAGTCAAGGTTGAATTATAATGTATTTGGGGAAACTTACTTTCTCTCCCTCCTTATTTTGGCCCTCACTCTCTCAAGTACAAAACAGAACAAACAAAACACCTGCAAAAGAATTTTCCTGTACATCTTCTTGTCCATTCTTCTGCCCCTACATCTCATTCAAGGACCCTCAGCCTGATGATGTCTGTCTCTAGTCCTGGCTTGCAGGAGGGATGGCTGAGAGCCCAGAACAGTCCTCCATGGTGGCCTGTGCCAAGCCAGGTTGCCATTTCCATTTTCATTAATTGAAGCAGCTTGACCCTGATCATTTCAGGCCAGCAATTTCCTATTGGTTGGGAGTGTGTGGAGGACATGTCTTTGCAGGTCATTCTGTCCTTGCATCTACCTGGATGGTGCTAACACCTCATTCAGGCAGCAAAAAACGGTCTCCTGTCACAGTTAACTGGGAGAAGCCCAACCTCACACAAATGCCCAGCCTCTCTTCTTGGGATCTCA